TCTCTGGGACACTGCAGAATGAAGTTGTACCTGTAGTACTGTACATCTGCTACAAGCTGACCAAGTTCCAAAATCTACAGTAGGTATGTCTGCTCAGAGTGGTATAACTTGCAGTTTGATTTTTCTTGCATGCAATCAGATGAGAAACAGCCTCCTGAAATATTTCTTATAGGACTCATTTCTTCCACATTAGAACTAGTATATCATAAAAACAGTGGAGACGTGTCATATTGTGCACATGTACTGTATATACAGTATAAACAGTGACAGTACACACTAGAAGATACTGCAGCATTGATTCATAGTGATCACCATCACCATTTTCACCCATGATAGTTTGCATGCTTCAGTTGATGAATGCTGGTCATGACAATACCTTCGGGTATGTCCCATCATTGTCCCTGGCAACATGTTCCCCATGGACCTATTTACAATACATATGCACCAAATGTCCCTGTCATTTTCACAACGTGGTATTCTAAATAGCTTATATAAATCTCCATCAGCTTATATAATATATAGTTACCCATGGATCAGGATGCCTGCTTGGGTGGGTATGTCTCTTTTTTTACTTTAAAACTGGTTTATGTACACTAGTTGACTTTTTAATGATGAATAATGCTGCAAAATTCATGGAAAATATCCCCTGGCCAAATATTGTATGTCACTTCCGCTGAATAACAAATCCGATTTAAACTGCTTAAACTGCTCACAGGAAACAAATGAATCGCATGGCAAGATAAAAGCTTCATTTTCATACTCTAAAAATACAATCATATAAGTACAATGTGACAAAACCATACTACTATTACTCACATTTAAAAGACTGGTTGGAGAAACAAAGTAAAAGAAGGGGATGAAAACAGTGAGAAACAACTCTGTACCCTACCCTTGCACCTCTACAGGACTGACTTGAGACTTTATGAGGAAAAAGTGATTCCACTTTCCTGGAGAGGTCAGACTATGGCAGAGAGACCTTGGTTTGATCAGTTAAATCAGCCTAGTAGGGTTTCCTTCTCTTACGTTCTTTCTAAGCCATCATGGGTGCCACTTGACAACAGCATGCCCCAATTAACTCACTGCGCTGTGCCAGTGAGCTGAGAGCATGGCACAGTGGCAACGCCCCTTCACTCATTCAATCACAGCATGCACACAGAGGAACTAGCTACAAAACGTCCCGGGTGATCATTACAGTAACATTTGCTTGCATCGTATCTCAGTTGCAAAACACTGATCAATCATCTTGTAATGAGATCTTTGCCTTTTATAATAATTATTATCAGCATGTAAAGAATATGTTTCCTGTGGAATATTTCAGAAGTGGTTTGTTCTTCAGCAGTAGTGACGTAGAGGATTGGTCACAGAGGATTTCAGTGTAGGCAAGTTGCCAGAGGACAGGTTACATGGACAGCTTTTCAGAATTACTCATTATTAAAAACTGAACTACAGAAAGCAATTTTCTAATTAAAAAATGAGAATATTACAACCAACATACATTCTGATCAGTAGGTAACGATATTTTGTACAAGCAGATGGGGGTTATATAAGCTCTGTAAATAGGCCAACTAACTTTATAAGCAGGCTGTTAATTTCTCAAGGTGATGGACAACATCCATCCATTTTCTAACAGCTTCTTGCAACTGTAGCCCGCGGAGTAGCCAGAGCCTATTCCATCAAGCAAATGGCTCAAGACAGGATACACCCTGGATAGGACGCCAGTCCATCGTAGGGCAGACAGACAAAAACAGATCCAATTTTTCCTAGAAGCCATTTAACCTATCAGTATGTCTTTGGACTGTAGGAGGAAAACCAGAGCACCTGGAGCACCCATGCAAACATGGAGAGAACATACAAAATCCATGCTGATAGCACCCCAGGTCTGAGACTGAACTCAGGGCCCCAGTGCTGCAAGGCAGAAATTCAAACCCCTGTACTTTCCTGACAGACAACATAACATGAACTCTTTTTTGACCATTTGTGAATTACATCACCCTCACACATCACCCATCACACAAACACCCTCTATATTATACTTGTAGATTGTTTCAGACTCCCACAGCCCTCTGTGTATAAAAGCTCCGCCTGTTCTCTGTCCTAAATGTGCTCCCAATTACTTTTCATTTGTGTCCTCTAGTCTGAACTCAGCTCTTCACCCTAAACAATTTTGTTGACTTTGCCAGTACTTTGAGGATTTTGAATGCCTGAATCAAGTCCCTTTAGGGTCCCAAAATTTATTCTCTGTCCAAAATTAAAGAGATTCAGGTCTTTTAAGTCTTTGAGTATAAAACATTCCTTCAAGCCTTGGAAATGTCATTCTACCCTTTTCCATGGCTATTTTGTGCAAGAACGTCACACCAATGAAGGAAAAGCTATGAAAAAAATGGGCTTAAGAACTGACATTAGATGCACATTTTCAAAACTGTTTTGATCATTTTCAAGGTAGGAATTTGCTTAAGTTTGATGGCTTCCTCTGAATGACTAGCTGTACAGTCCCATGTGGTTGCCCATGGAGCTTGGTATATAACCAGCAGAGTTGTGAGGGCACTCAGGCTTCTGGTTCACATTAAAGTAGACCACAAACAGAATCCACAAAGATAATGCTTCTTCAATAATGAAGAAAGTAGGAAATGTTTAATTCACACTCTTTTGCTCTTTTATCTGGTTCCAATTGGAAGCATCAATTCCCTAGGTGAGTATCAGCCAAAATTACAAATCCTACATTTGGAGGAAAAAAAAGTAGATAGTTTAGTCAAATAAAAGGGAAAGATTAAAGAAACTTCAGCTGTGAACCTTGGATAATTGATTTATAATGTATTAGCACTTGCAATAAGAAGTATTCACTAGGGATGTCAAGCAGTTCCTTATAACCTCCTCTCTGTTCTTTGTAGTAACCAAATCCCAAAGATGACAGGCTTATTCCCAGAAGGCTCTGTTAAACCCAGGACTGTCAATACACAAATTAGCCCTTTCCTCTTCAATAAAGAAATGAGACTTTTCTTTTTTTTCCCCTGTGCTGCCTCATTATTCAACCATTTCCCTTTAAAACAGGTTTGTTTTTTGCAGAAATCTGATTAAAAGCTTCATGTGGCGAGGAGCCAGCATTTCATAAAATTCTGTATTTCAAGTGTATAACAATTTATTTTTATCATTTTTAAACACCAATTTTAAACATTTGTTTATACAATCAACATCTGAAAATGATGGAACAGAGGCTCCTACGTGCTTCCACACACAATATAATAATCTTTTCTACTATTTTGTCCTGTGCAATGTATACATACTGTATTACCAATTTTTTTTTACGTTTTGCAATATGTAACCAACTGAGGTATGTTTAGCTAAAAGTCAGAAAATGCACCATTAGAAAACAAAAATCATTATTCATAAGATGCTTGGATATTATACATTGAGTAAAAAATAACAGAAGCTCTAGTTTTGCAGAACGATGAATATATCCCCTTTTAGTTTTGTCGGATCTACTGATCGGGCACTGTCGTGTTTTTTTTTTTGGTTCTTTTATATATAACTTAAACACAGTTGAACATAACACAAGGAAATGCTTTTTAACTGGTACTAAAACCGTTATAACTTGTCCGTTTACAGGTCAGCCACATTCTAACATTACTCTAGGGAGTGTCTCACAATTACTAGACTAACTGAAACATGAGGGAGTGTGTTAAAACTACCTACCATGTCAGGTACTTTACCTTCACTTAAATTCTTAACCTAAGAACGTGCAAAGATATTAAATGCTAGCTGTTTCATAACAATATGAGAGGTGTGAGGCATGCTTGAAAACAGAGTTTTATGAAACCTGATGACAAAACAGCTAATGAGTTCTAAAGCCTTGTTTATGTTGTGAAAACCAACTGGTTTTAACCTGATTGTCTTGCCTGATTGCGGTGCTTGGCGTATGATAAGAATTTTAATGGAGTAAAACACTGTGTCTAATTAGAACAGAAGAACGTTTTCTCACACTCTGATATCTTGCTGATTTACCCCACAGATCTGATTATGCTACGATATTAATAATCATGGGATAACAATTTTCAGCTGGTAGGGTTTGCTGCCAGCATGCTGTTTAGAGCCTCCCAGTACTCAGTTAGAGTTACAATTAGTTGAAGACCATTATGCACAGCAATGGTAAACTAGAGTTATTTCACCATATATATCAAACAAAACCATGGTACCTTTTCATTTACCTGTTGATCGAGTCCATATAATTAGAGCTCATGCTCAGGTATAACAGTAACATATCATTTTACATTTTAAGTTTCTGCATAAAGGTTAAGGCTATATCTAAGCTTTTAGCAGGAAAGTAGAAATTAGTTTTTGAGTAACCCTCAATAACCTTGAGTAAGCACTGCACTGGGCAATGTAGACACAATCAGCATAGTTCTCATTACAGTTCCCAGCTCTTCAGTGTTACAAGACATGATATGTGTAACTACTGTATATCATAACACTAATTTAAAAATGGTTAATTACACTTAAGATTGTCATAGCTTTTATTAAATGGAATAAATAGTTATGCATTCAAAAGAGGAGTATGAACTTTTACCTTAATGGAAGTGTAATGTATGTAGAATTAATTGTAATATGTACCCTATTAAGCAGTGGTCAGTACAGTTTAACTCTCATATTCAATGTTTTGAAAATTAGAAAAATAAAATAGTTTCAATAAAAGTTTTAACTGTTGCCAAATGATCTATTATACATCAAATATAATGTAATTGTACCCAGAAAAGCTGAAGTACAATTAATCTTTTTCTGTCTGTCATGAAGACTGGCAATTGTATAGATGAGCCTTCAAGACAAGATGACGTTAGAAAGCAGGTGAAATTGCATTTTCAAGATAACTGCTCGCATTTTAGTTTGATATTATATACTTTAAATTAGCTGAGTTGCATTCTATTATCATTTGTCTCACATTCGTATGTGTATAAATTTAATCAAGTCAGACCTATAAACTAATTTGACTTTTTTTTTGTCTTTTACCTGAAGTCACCTTTTTTGAGATTTGGCTTTATCTCCATTCCCATTACAGGTCTACAAAGACCTGACGTACCTGCAACTGCAAGAATTTTACTGCAAAATAAAAGCACAACGGCATTTTTTCTGCTAAATGAGTCAATGCTTGAAGTTCACTATTAAAGTTTAATCAGCTTAAAGGTTAAAATGGACGAAATATGTTTTATGTATGTGTTATTAGCATCCAAAGTTAAGACACAAAACCTTGAGATAATGACATTAATATTCAGCACTCCTAGCAATTGCTAAACATGTGGTGGACTGGGGAGTTGCAGATGGTTTACTGATATTTAACTCAAAGAGCATTTGCATCTGACCTGTTTTAGATTGCCCTTTTTCATGAACAAACAGGGTTTCTGAGCACAAATTAGGTGGATGATGTTAATGCCAAAGCAGCCATCTCAATTTACATGCCTTTGTTTAATCAAGGGCAAAATTTTCATCTTAATCATCTGCAACAGACATTGTGAGGAGACAAGTCATGAAAGTCATGAAACTGTATAAGCGTATGCTTAAGAATGACAGGAGGAAGAATTTCATATACAAAAAACTGTAGGTATCATTAGTAGAACAAACGATTGCATTATACCGATGAAACCGATTCCCTAAGATTCATCAGAAAAAGTGTGGGGATTTAATTGTTCACTAAACCCGGAACAATTGTTCACGGAACAATTAATTTAAATGCTAGATTGGTACAAAATATGTGGCTTTTTCTGTTTCTTTTTATAGACTATTGTATCATCAACAGGCCTATGACTCTTTAAGATCAGTTTACAAGGCAGATGAACAGTAGGTGTTGTGTTAGAGTACAGGGCAATGGAAATCTTTGACAAGCCAAAGAGTCTGTTGTAATTCTGAACCACTTAGGTTGTTATAATGGTGACGTTCATCTTCAGGAGAGCTCATCTTCCCAGCTACACTACTCACCCAAGATGTTTTTTCTTACTTTACACCATCAACGTTTCTTTGTCCTCATCTGCTTTGTGAAAGGAAAAGGGCGGATCAAAGCAATAAACCAGCTACGCAGAGCGACATCTAATGTTTTTTCTGCCACAAGCAAAAAGTCAGCACTTGGAAAATATAAGCTAATTTTAAATGGAAATTAAAAATTCATAACAACATTAGTGCATCCCCTGAGACACCATTTTACTGAAAGGAAAATAATTTAAAATAATGTAAATTATCTACTTAAATCAAAAAATGATTTACAAGTAAGATGTAAAAGAAACTGTGTTAAACAGCGGTGGTGTTGGAATGTAGAGTTACCTTATAATGCTTTTTGTTTATTATCAAAATTGTTCATTTACTGCGAGGCAGGTTACAGCCGAGTGGTTGTTTCTAATGATAGCTTTACAACCAGAAATGAATACTGAATTTGTGATGCCATGAGGAAACACTATCTTAAATGGTTACATCAGCATTGGCTCTTAAATTTGTTCCGGATTGTAAGTACATTTTCCTTAGCATGAGATGTAAATGAGGGGCAGCCTCTACGATAAACATGGAAAGCTTTGGCTGTGATTTGCATTAGGACATTGGAACCTAACATTCCATAACATGGAAGATGTGTTCAAGGCACGTTAATGTCACGGAGATCAGAGGAGATACTTTTATACGAAACGTTCCATACTATATTGTTTAATCCCCCCCCCATACACACACACACTTTTAAAGAGACTCTGACATATTCAAAATGTGCATTCCTGCATTTCCCCACATGAGCTTATGCCTTTTCTTTCCTGCAGTTTTGCAATAACATTTAATTTACAATTTCCCTTACCTGGTACAGCAATAAATCACCCTATATTTGTAATTTCCGATTTCCAGCACAAACGAGTTAAAAAGAGAGTGATTATAGCAAATTGGATTGAAATTGTTTATCACTGAATGGCTTTTTTCCTCTTCCCCACCTCAGGCAAAGCCCCACATGTTGGATAACGTTTCTACCTACCTTTGCACAGTGGGTGACTGTAAGAATGATCACTACACTGTTAGCTTTTCATTGATCACAACTTCACAGAATCGTTGTTCTCTATGTACCTGGGTCCACACCAAGTCAAGATGTGCTATAATTAACAAGCTTTATGCTAAAGCTTTGCAAATTAGCACATGATATTCAATGGCACATTCTATAATAGAATGTGACATCGTACCATCCTCAGGGTTAAATGTTTACGTTTTCCATTATTTAAAGGTCAAAATGGTGTATGAAAAACATCCTCCAATGATTTAATTTTTCTATTGTTTGTTTCATACCTCAAGATCCTGTAATCGTTCATGTTGTGAAGTGACATTTTTAGGCTTTACTGATATGCAAATAATATACAACAGCTGCCTCAAGGGAGCACATCTCCAGCAGTAGACATAGCAGCAAATAACATTGTTCTCACATGGAGCTGACTGCACACGAAAGGTCAAGGTGACATCACAATTGCTATGTGCCTCTCATTAAAACCGATATCTACCTTCAGTTGCTTTGATTCTGACAAAACCATATTGTCTGTCTGTATGTCCATCTACTTTTATATTTGAAGTTGTTCAGGTGAGTCGCCATGCGTAGGCTGCAAAGGAACAAGTCATAGGTTTACTCCTTGCTGAAAAGAGAAGAACAAAAACACAATGTTTCAGCCGTGGAGCCTTCTTCAGGTGTGAGGGTTCAGGTTGACACACCTGAAGAAGGCTCCACGGCTGAAATGTTGTGTTTTCTTTCTTCTCTTTTTAGCATGGAATAAACCTATTACTTGCTACTTTTATATTTTCTCTTTACAACAAAATAACCATTCAATTTGCAGAATAAGCAATAAATATGTTGTACTGCATTAATTTGCCATTAATTATAATTAGGAATTTGTTTAACCGATGCCTTTATCCATGGTGATATACAATCAAATTAATGAACTGTAAAATTCTAATATTGCAGAATTTAGAAAGTTCTAAATTTCTAAATACTGTTATACAGTAATTAGGTTTCAATGTATGATAGAATAAGAAAAATGAAAAATAAGACACTCCATTTCCTGAGCTGGATTATCGGGATGTACATTACAAAAAGGAACCTGCACCTCATCTTTACTCATCTTACTCTTTTTTAAAAGAATTTTAGGCAGACATCAGGTCTGCTCTTTCTTCGCTCACCAGAATCCCTGTGGTTCCAGCTACAAAGCTGATTTATTAGCACTGCATTTTGTGATATATTCTATGGCAACATTACTATGTTTTTATAATTAATTCTTAAACAAAGATTGAATTGAATTGTTCTGTTTGTTCTTGTTGCTTAAACATATTATCTTGCTCTGCATCTGCTGTATGACTTATTCCCTGCCTTGCATTCTGCATACTGTATGTCTTTTTTAATAGATTCATGTTGTAAGATGATAAAGGGAGCAAACAGCACAGTCAACTGCACTCACATTCATTAAAAATAATACATTAAGTGTGCGTGTGATTAACTATTGGACTGCTGAATTTATAATGGGTAGAAAGAAATTAAAATCGGAAGTTTAATTGAAGTTATGGCTGTGTTCTTGTGAACCTTCATCTTTCTACCTTTGTTTAGGTGTCTTTGATTTATAAGATATTAGATGACCTCATTAGTTCCATTGTTTAATGTCACTTGGTGCATCTAATGACTTATTTGGACTCTTTCTCATTCCTTTTTTGGGGAATGGTGAATCATCAATGTGAATCATCATGTGCAAAGGGTCGGCTAAATAAATGAATAACAGGTGCATTCTGACAAGGTGCTATAAGGAAGTGAGAGGCAGGGCTGTCATGATGCACCTACTTACCAGGTTTCACTGGAGGGGTGTAATGTGATGTCACAAATGGACACCCGCTTGGACAGTCCTTGCAAGCATGTGACCCTTTACGTTCAGCAAATCATGTGTGAAAATAACATAATTCGCTTCTTTCATTTTGTTTTAAGACTCGTGCAGTCTGATGTCAAGATGCCACATAGTAGCTATTCTTTGCCAGCAGCCCCACCCCACAGCAGAGCAGGTGGAGACAGAGCAAATATTCAATATTACCAAGCAGAGGCGAAGTGATAAGGGATTTGTACCAGAGTGTACAAAACCCAGGAGGAACACTGCTGTTGTTCCCTTGAGGAAGTTACTTTTCATTTCAAACTGCTCCAGTAAATGTCCTGATGTGTATATGAGACTTTCCAGGGTATCACTGCCAATGTGAATTTGTTGTCAATTGTTGTAAATGGTTAAATAAATGATTCAAATAAAAAGATACACAGGGCACAGGTTTTTGATTCAGCTGAGCTAATATTTTTTTTAGAATTGTGCACCTGTTCAGTTTTCTGAGTTCTTTTCAGCTCTTAAACTGCAAAATATTTCAAGGTGTTACCTCTTTTAGTTTACATGCAACCTAAAACTGGACTTTGTGTAATTGAAAAGGATTACAGATGAACCAAATTAGACGTTAAAGAAAGGGTTTAAAAGAACTTGTAAGGCTGTACTGATACCCAAGAAAACCAATTGCTTCCCAGTCCGCAGTTCCATAGTTTAGGCTGATTAGCTGAATGGCCCCAGGTGTCTGTCATACACCTGCCTATCACTGACACAGCTCCTGGACTTACCCGATACCAGACGATCTCTCGCAACCTGCCGTCAGTCTTGAAGTTGCATTTCAGCGTCACGGTATCTCCCACGACTACAGGAGGAAGGGACTCGATAGTGACTGTCAGGTATCCTGTGAGGGCAAAGAGGAAAATTCCACATGTTAGTTTATCTACATTTGTTTAGATCGTGCTTAAAACATTTTCAATTCAAAATTAGTATTCTTTCAGTAGGCAAAACAGAGATGATTGTTCTGAAACTAAAAAAAAACACAAAAATGATTTTTTAATGGGATGAGCTGATGATTAGCCCCCATATGAACAGTCTATTGTGTTGCATTATAACATGTATAATATATTGTACTGAGCACCATCTGTTCTCATTTTGTCCCAGAACATTCTTGTTAATATGATGCTTTTAAACATAATAAATCTCAGTGGCATGTTAAAATAGCAGATGTTCTATTAGTGCTTTAAAATTATATATATATATTTTATAATAGCTGTGGCCTTTTACAAGCCAAAAATGCCATTATTGATTTTTTAAATGACATTCCATTGTGTGTAACGACAATGTAAAGTTATTAATATAAAGAGAAAATGCTACAGCATTCTCAAAAGAGCTGCTTGTCGCACCAAAGTGTAATATTGTCAGCACACAGTTTTCACAGGATTTCTTTAAAATGCTATTTGCTGCTTATCTAGTAATCATACATAAATTTGACTGATGAATACAAGCAAAAATATGGTAAATGTCTCCCCTCCACGTGTTGTACCAGTGTCTTCAAGATTGCCTACGGCCATGTACAGTATAATTTGAAAAAACAATCATGGCGTAACTGTATAATTATGAGAGCATTACTAATGCACATGTCTGTATGACATAATATGTTTTTTTTGTTTTTATTTATTTTGAAAGCTCAATTACAGAAAGCTTCAGAGTTAGCATTCTGTTTTGGCAAGGAATGTGTGTAACACGGACGTCACAGTTTCCCATAACTCAGCAAAGGCTGGGAGCCTAATTTACATAAATACTGAACAAAGCTAAAGCAAGGAAGCCCAGGAGTTCAGCAAATTCAACATTATTAAATGTTTTTCATCAAAGCCAACAAGTTAAAATCAGCTAATTAGCCCAATGTGCTTGTTTGGGTTTTAAGATGATCCTGGGATTTTGAATGTCTATTCTCTTTCTCTAACTTAATGTCCCTTCGTCTCTTCCTTTATTCAATTTGGAATGGAATTTATATATGTATTTATTTTTTTCTGTTGAATGAGTATGTTTACTGAACCTACTGTACATCTCAGCAGTTTCTAACTATAAGGCTTCTGTAGAGCTTTGTCTTTGGACTACTGCAATATCAACATTAAAGAGTAGAGAGCTGTTTTAGGGGATGATCCATGTGCCTTGTGATTGCTGAGCGATATAATACTGTGGCATACTGCATTATTAAGCAGTCTTCAGTGCTGCTTGCGATAATCCCACTTGAAAAGAAAACCATTGGAATTATTTATTAACCCCCTCCTTCAAAAAAGGGAACCCGCTGAGACTAAAAACAGCAATAATAACACCACTGGGAACATAATTTAAAACAAAAGCTTTAGGGCAAATACTACTTTTTTCTTAAATTTGCTAAAAGCACAGAGCAATGCCAGATTGCTCGTCAGTGGCATTCCTGTGATGTGCTCAGCTACAGAAGGCTGTTGTGAAACTGTAGGCTTCTGTGGCTCAATATTCCTCTATGGGGTGAGAGCTGGGTGAGGAAGAGGAATGCTTCTAGAATGGTGCCGTGCAAGACACATCAGAGGTCCTTGCAGGTTGCTGAGGCATCAACAGTGCAACAGAAGGACCGGCAAAGGATAGCGACTGAAATTCAGGCAAGAACACAGGACAGGGTCTTGATCTGGAGTTTTAAATCCAGATGTGGATCCATAAATTGCCAAAAACCCAATGTGAGCGAATTAAATTGAATTATTCTATTGTAAATCCTGTTGTGTTCTTTTGTTATTTTGTATTACTAAGCGCTACGGTTCATTCATATATTGTAGTGAGGACCACACTAAGAAGCTTCGTGCCAGCCTGATATCGGCACTATTTTTACAAAGTATAATGCTTTGTTGGATATACGTAGCAATTACATCTTATCTATATTTTTCTGCTTGCTTTACACACAGAACTGTCTAAGTATATCATATACTGTATATGTTCTCTCCTGCTCATTTATCATGCAGCGTAAGAGGTTACTAAAAATAAAACAATCCTTTCAGGGGCTTTATTGGTTATGATAAGTGGAGGGGAACGTAATTTCTCAGAAGAGCTGCCCATGGAGCTGATGCGCTTAATGGAGTTTATAGCTGAAGTTCTGGAGGAGGCTTAGATCCTAATCTCGCACACTTCTGCTTGCCTACTCAGTACCGCACCAAGGACTTTGTGCATCTATCTCTCATCCCCCTGCCGCCCCATCTACAGTACACCCTTACAGAACCTCCCTGGCTCAGACCTCACAATAGTGGGGTAGTGGGATGACTGGTACCAGTCATCCAGGTTTCTCCCCCCTTCCCTCTGGTGAGCGTTATAGGAGCGTAAAACCACGTACGTCCAGATTACTGGATTCTACCCTTACGACTGGCTCACACTGATGTGTTTTTTGTATGGTATTAATAAATGTACAGTTTGTTATTTAACTTGGTGTTGCTGTCGCTGTTCTGTTTTGGTGTTTCCTTAATGTCCCTGTATTGGAGCATACATGCAAAAAAACATTTCACTGCACTTGTGCGCATGACAATAAACTGAACTGATGTGGGCTGGGCAGCCTACTCAGCCTCAGATAGGCTGCCAGTCCCTCATCTAGGAGAGTCACATCTGATATCTTATATACTGTATATATTTGTCTCGCATTCATTGGGTAAAAATCTCAGTCAAGGGTCACATCGCACTTGTGTCTGGTATTGGGTCAACAATTCACAATTCTCAAAAAGCTGAGACTCATCTTTTATATCCCAGGTCCAGGTCTTTGTCTGAGTAACAGATTTCACTTTGGAGGAAATTACCCACCACTGCAATAAACACAGATCTACGTTTGACCACTAAAAAACTGGGTTTGAAAGTCCCAGGCAGAGGAATTATTTATTTCGTGGAAAGCTGGGATAGTTTTGCCACCTGTTTGTGGTTACCCTGAATTACCCAGCTTAAGAGGACAATGTCCCAGAATTCCTCTAAGCCTTCTAGGGACACTTTATCCTCATGATTAGATCAAGCAAAATGCAATCTTTTTTACAAGAGATGAACAACCTCATTGGATTATGAAAAGTAATATGATTTTAAAACCCGGAATTAATCTGCTGGGGATATTTTATGCAGTTTTACCTGTGATAACCCTCACTACCACAGAAAATCTTTGTTTCAAGTGAAAGAGAGAGTATACCTTATTTATCTTACGGAGCAACACCCCTTGTCATAGTTTACAGTTCTTGCACTATATACAATCAGCAATCAAAACTAAAACCATGTGATTTCCACTAATATTATGACTAAGGATGTAGTTTTGCCAAGAGAACAGTGTCTGATCTGAGAGCTTTTGTTAACCAGACAGGTAGGCAGTACTCCTGACTCACTGTGGGTGGAATTGCAATTATGTTGCCTGGTCTAAATTCCGGTAACAGACAGAGAACTGCCATGACCGCAAACATTGTGAAAGAAAAAAAAACTGTTGAAAATGAATGATCTGCTTATACATTTTTAATTAAGGTTTCAGTCTTACATAGGCTATGTGAATTTTTTTCCATTTGAGTCCCCACTATTCAACATTCACAGGCACCTGCAAAGTCTACTTGTGGTAGCTACAGTATTATGCACCACATATGCAAAGACTGGTTTAGGATGGCTAGCAACATATATAGGAATGCACTACAGGAATAAACTGGAAAGAAACAGGAATGAAACCAAAAATAAGTCCACGGAAATTTTATTTTTATAAAGTCAACTTCAAAATCAGATAGTCTCTGTTGAAGTCAGTCTCTCAGGTAATTGTATTTGGGGGGTGAGAGGGTGTGGGTTTTCAGGTATTTCTCCATCTTTCTTGATAATTAATATCTTAGCCTCTCACTTAAAGGAAAATTAGTTTCCCATTAACAGGGAAAAATGGCGGTATGAAGACAGTTACTGACATATACTGTATAGAGACATTACATTATGTTATAGCCTTTCTAGGCAACAGCAGTCTCCATTATCTCCCACATTTTAAAGTTTAGTTATCCCTGAACTGCACAACTGATCCTACTAACATTTCCATTTTCCTGGATTTGTACAAAAGGGTTCTATTTATGTGGCTTCATAACAGTTGAAGGAAGCTAAACATTGGTCATCTTGGGTCTCATATTAGTTCCACTCTGGTCTGGGAACTTGATACCTTCAACTCAGAAACAGTCGTTTAAATCATCTGACATCTTTGGATTAAGAACTAGGTCCTTGTTAGACTGTAAGTCTTGTAGAGGGTATTTATACACAGACACTTATGGTACAGAGTTTCTGTCCAGCAGTGGTCTATAGTAGAAGTGGTAGTTTTAAATCGGTATGCCAGTATGCAATAGAAGTCACATTCTGAGATGGTGGTGTACTCTTATGTGGAAAAAAAAGCCTTAAAAATCAATAGAGTACTGTATATACAGCCAATGACTTTGAAACCCATCTACTTCAGTCCAAATCTAGTTCCATTTTTGCTGAATTATAGTTAATAATTTCCCCCAAACCATGTTTAATTACCATGTTAATGTTTAAAAAAAATCTATATTATTCTGTGGAAGAATAAGAATATTATTCTTCCACTGTTAGTGGATTCTCTTTTTACATCTACATCTTTAAAAGTTTACAATAACTTTCATAAAACAGGAAGCAAACTCTGCTTCAGATCACACAGCTTTAAAGATTAACAGTCACTTTGTAATCTTGTGGTGAATCCTGCTTTATATTACTATCAAAACTAAGGGAATTGATTTATGCATCAAATAAAAATGTGATTAAAACTAGGTTGTTTGAAAGGCCATGTTCGCATTATAAGAATATGAGAAACACTTTAACAACTCCAAGAAAAACAGCTTCTCAGAAGCTACAAAGCATTTCCTGTTCTTTTTTTCCTGT